CCATTTGTCTCCATTCACTCCTATCAAACACGCTCACGCATGCCTGCTGGAAGTCCAAGCCCCTCGCACACAAAACCTCCTTTACCCCCTCCCTCCAACCCTTCCTAGCCGACCCCTACCCCGCCTTCCTTCCACTACAGACTGATACACTCTTGAAGTTATTCTGTTTCGCTCCATTCTCTCTACATGTCCGAACCACCTCAACAACCCTTCCTCAGCCCTCTGGACAACAGTTTTGGTAATCCCGCACCTCCTCCTAACTTCCAAACTACGAATTCTCTGCATTATATTCACACCACACATTGCCCTCAGACATGACATCTCCACTGCCTCCAGCCTTCTCCTCGCTGCAACATTCATCACCCATGCTTCACACCCATATAAGAGCGTTGGTAAAACTATACTCTCATACATTCCCCTCTTTGCCTCCAAGGACAAAGTTCTCTGTCTCCACAGACTCCTAAGTGCACCACTCCACTCTTTTTCCCTCATCAATTCTATGATTCACCTCATCTTTCATAGACCCATCCGCTGACACGTCCACTCCCAAATATCTGAATATGTTCACCTCCTCCATACTCTCTCCCTCCAATCTGATATTCAATCTTTCATCACCTAATCTTTTTGTTATCCTCATAACCTTACTCTTTCCTGTATTCACCTTTAATTTTCTTCTTTTGCACACCCTACCAATTCATCCACCAATCTCTGCAGCTTCTCTTCAGAATCTCCCAAGAGCACAGTGTCATCAGCAAAGAGCAGCTGTGACAACTCCCACCCTGTGTGTGATTCTTTATCTTTTAACTCCACGCCTCTTGCCAAGACCCTCGCATTTACTTCTCTTACAACCCCATCTATAAATATATTAAACAACCACGGTGACATCACACATCCTTGTCTAAGGCCTACTTTTACTGGGAAAAAATTTCCTCTTTTCTACATACTCTAACTTGAGCCTCACTATCCTCGTAAAATCTCTTCACTGCTTTCAGTAACCTACCTCCTACACCATACACTTGCAACATCTGCCACATTGCCCCCCTATCCACCCTGTCATACGCCTTTTCCAAATCCATAAATGCCACAAAGACCTCTTTAGCCTTATCTAAATACTGTTCACTTATATGTTTCACTGTAAACACCTGGTCCACACACCCCCTACCTTTCCTAAAGCCTCCTTGTTCATCTGCTATCCTATTCTCCGTCTTACTCTTAATTCTTTCAATTTTAACTCTACCATACACTTTACCAGGTACACTCAACAGACTTATCCCCCTATAATTTTTGCACTCTCTTTTATCCCCTTTGCCTTTATACAAAGGAACTATGCATGCTCTCTGCCAATCCCTAGGTACCTTACCCTCTTCCATACATTTATTAAATAATTGCACCAACCACTCCAAAACTATATCCCCACCTGCTTTTAACATTTCTATCTTTATCCCATCAATCCCGGCTGCCTTACCCCCTTTCATTTTACCTACTGCCTCACGAACTTCCCCCACACTCACAACTGGCTCTTCCTCACTCCTACAAGATGTTATTCCTCCTTGCCCTATACATGAAATCACAGCTTCCCTATCTTCATCAACATTTAACAATTCCTCAAAATATTCCCTCCATCTCAGTTGTTTGTTGGGTTATCTTATTCAAACTTGGGCAATGTATGATGGAAAGATACTTCTTAAACCAAAAATGAAAGAAATCAGACCATAAATGGCAGAGTTCACGTCTCAGCCATTAGCGGCCGCTTGGCGGTATATTTTTGTATGTTTTTATGGTTATATTCTCATTTTTTTGGTCTAATTTGATAGAATGAAAGATATATTACAGAAATAGATATGATTTTGATTGCTTTCATGACGAAAAGTACCTTGAAATTGCACTCACAGTAGCAAAAATATTCTATTCATTAGCGAATCTCAAGAGTAAACAAATGACGTCACCGTCCAATACCTGTCCGCCTGCCAGTCATGAATGGGTTGACATTATTTATACATTTATTACAATAATGCAGCAGTCTGCATAACAGTAAATCTTCTATTTTTTTGTGAATAAAAATTCCAAATGGTAAGCAAGAGTAATATAAGAGGGGCCTGTAGCCATGACTAATGAACTGAGAAAAATGTTATTTTAGTGCCAGGAATGTCTGCATTGTTTATTCTGGACCCTATTTTGAAATTGGCATCTGTTGAAATTTGTGTGAAATTGGCCAAATTGCCAATTTCTGACCACTTTATTGGGTAGTTGAAATAAGTGAATGAGCGGTTTCTTGTACTCAGTTGACAGACTAGAAGTAAATAAATTTATTCAGGTATACACAAATACAGTTACATAGATTATCATACATAGCAGTGTATGTATAGAGAACCTAGGATAACCCAGAAAAGTCAGACAAAGGGACTTATTTCCAGTACCTGGCTTGGGCTTGCCATATATGATTTTTGGTAAATATTTTTTTTTTCTCGGTTGTTTGTTGGGCTATCTCATTGAAACTTGGGCAATGTATGATGGAAAGATACTTCTTAACGTACAACAAAAATAAAAAAGACGGATGATAAATAAGGGAGTTTACTTCTCAGCCATTAGCCGCCTCTTTGCAGTATATTTTCGTATGGTTTTTATGGTTGTATTCTCATTTTTTTGGACTCGTTTGATAGAATGGAAGATATATTACAGAAATAGACATGATTTTGATTGCTTTCATGAGGAAAAGTACCTTGAAATTGAGCTCAAAGTAGCGGAAATGTTCGATTTTTGCGGATATTCAATGAACTTCGTGTAAGTCAAGTTGGTTAATTTTATTAAGTGTATTCTAACCTAACCACTCTGTAATCCGGCAAACTCAGTAATCTGGCACACTACAGGTCCCAATGATGCCGGATTTGTGATGGAGGACCTGTACTAGTAATTAGAAAATCACTTAAACTTTTTCAGATGACCCTCATGTTAGAAACTTTTTAAATAACATGCTGTACTCTGTCTCCATTCATGGGAATACCTTGATGTTTATGAAGGTCTCTTGATCCATGAAACTGCAGCTACCTTCTCTATCCATGGATCAACCATGATTACCTCACCATGAAAATAATAACAATATTAATATACTTTTGACCACTAAATCGCTCAGTTATCAAACCCACCAAAATCACAGAGGCATTTGTTTCCTCATTAGACCAAATTTTATTTACCTGTACTTTTACTGATCACTGTTGTACCTTTAAGATAAGATTTGCTTGGATTTTTTACCAAGAGGGTTAGCCACCCAGGATAACCCAGTGAAGTCAGTGCATCACTGGGGACTGTCTGTCTTATTTCCATTGGGATCCTTTAAATCTTATCCCCCAGGATGTGACCCACAACAGTTGGCTAACATCCAGATACCTACTGACTGCTAGGTGAACAGGAACAGCATGTGTAAGGAAACATGCCCAACATTTCCACCCATGTTGGGGATTGAACCACAGACACTCGGTATGTGTGGTGAGTGCACTGCCAACCAAACCCCGAACATCACAGAATGCCACTTGAAACTACAAAAATAACATTCAGACTCCACAACATGACATCAGTAGAACAATTTATCACAGAAGTAAGTAACATTAGCTGGAACAAAAAGGAACTGCTGTAACTTGCAAATAAAATATTACCACTGGTGAATATCTTAAATGCATGTCATGAACAACGTGTTCGTGTGTACTCACTCACATGTGGTTGCAGGGGTTGGGTCACAGCTCCAGTGTGTGAGTGTATGTGAGTTACTCTCACAATTGTGAAATAGTGTTAATTTTAATATTTTTAAGCACATGTGTAATATTAATGTTTTAAAAGCATAGGCTGGTATCAGCAACGTTTTCACCATTACCGATACCGTAAAAATAGCAGATACTCACTGTTAACCCTTTCACTGTCGAGACCCCTGCTCACAAACTTCCTCTCAGTGTTGAAGAATTAAAAACAAAATTTTTTCTTATGAAATGATAGAGAATCTTTTCCCGATGAGAATGACATCAAAAGTACAAAATTTGATGGAAAACTTACGGAATTACGTCCTCGTGAAGTTAGTGGTCTTGGCGATATATACACATCCGCGATTTTGCCCACTCTGAGCCCTGCTTTTGGCCAGTTCCATTGTTCCATTCAACCAAACTCATAGCTATTTCGCAAGAGCTCCATTTATTCTATCGATTGAGTACAAGAAACCGCCCATTTGGCAATTTCAACTACCCAATAAAGTGATCAGAGATTGGTAATTTGGCCAATTTCATACACAATTCAGGTAAGGCCAATTTCAAAATAGGGTCCAGAATTAACAATACAAACATTCCTAGCACTAAAATAAAATTTTCTCTGTTCATTAGTCACGTCTCCAGGCCCCTCTTATATTACTCTTGCTTTCCATTTTGAATTTTTATTCACACAAAAAATAGAAGATTTACTGTTATGCTGTCTACTGCATTATTGTAAAAATGGTATTAATAATATCAGCGTATTTGTGAAAACATATTAGACCCACCAGTTGACGTGTAATGAATGCATGACATGATTTGTTTACTCTTGAACATCGGCAAAAATCGAACATTTCTGCTGCTTTGAGCTCAATTTCAAGGTACTTTTAGTTTATAAACCATTGAAAATCATCTCTAATTCTGTAACATATCTTCTGTTCTATCAATTGAGACCAAGAAAACGACAATACAACCATAAATACCATACGAAAGTACACCACAAAGTCAGTGTTTTAGACCAAAAATATGGTTGGATTTTTTTTTATCTCATGCACTGCGTGCTGAAGGATTTTTTTATACTGCGCACACTGACCACTCAGCCCATTCTCTCATATGTAGGCCTACCAGCTTTCTCCTGCAAGATTGGAAGCCACTAGAATTTTTTGTGTATTATTACGGCATCGACACTGGCTTTCAAGCTGTAGTATTATGGGACCGACAGTGAAAGGGTTAAATATAACTTTTTATTAATATTATTTTTAATTTCAACAGACAGATCCCAATGATCTGATTCCTTTCATTGAGGCCGGGGAAGACTACATGGACAGCTCTGAAATGTACTTGTGTGGCGCTGTGAAAAGTCTTCGATCTCAGAGGACTAAGCCTGACAACTTGCTGTGCTTCTCTCTCATGTACCTGGTGAAAGTTAAGCCTCATCTGTTTAGTAGATCAGATATGGTGGTGGAAGCCTTCTGCTCACTGTTAAAAAGAGATCATTCGATGACCTATAAATCGAAAGGCAATGCAGCTGTGTCTGTTTTAGCTGCAAATATTCTTCTTGCAGCTTTCCAAGAAGAAAAGTCCTGGCCAGATATATTTGTTCGTGTTTATATTGAAGATTCTCTTGGAGAACGTGTGTGGGTTGACCACGAAGATTGTAAGGGCTTTGTCGACAACATTGCCACAGCATTCAAGACAAAAATGCCTCCAAAAAGTCTCTTGTATCCTGACCATGGTATTGGAAGTCGACAGGACTGCCCGTCTCCTCCAGTGTCTGGAGGCTCCGGAGGAGCTGATTCTGGTGATGGTGACTCCGAGTTGTCCCTTGAATGTAAGGAGAGTCTGGACGTTAGTGTTACTAATCGCTATTCAGGGGTGATGACAGAAGTAGAAGAAATGGTCATGGAAGCTGTACAGCACCAGCTTGGGGTGAGGCATCAGAGCCCTGATGCTGTGGCTCGGAATTTTATCCGCTTTCTGTCTTCTGTGTGCGGTATTCTGGAAGTGCGGAGGCATGTTGCTCCAAGACTAGAAATGTGGCTTCAGAGTCCAAAGCTCCAGAGACCAGCTACAGAGCTACTTATGTCTTTATGTCTGAATTGCAACACTCACACTCAGCTAGACGTTGAGTGCATCAGTCATATAATAAGAATTCGCTTGAAACACAAACCTCTTATCAACCAATACATGTCTTGCTTAAAAGAACTTCTTGCAGCCCACCCTGACAATATTCCCTCAGTCATGAAGCATACGTTATACAATGAATTATCACAAGCAAGAAACCCAAGCAATATGAATATCTTGTCAGTTATTTTCCAGTTTGCACCAGAACATGCTGCTATCATACTTGCAGAAGAGTTCCAGGAACTTCTTTGTAACAGAGAGGATTTTCTTAGAGCCCTCAGAGCTCTATTGCGTGAGATTGTGCGAGCTTTACGGCACGATATGCAATTCCAAAAGTTTTGCCTTGGACTCATGAAGGATCGCAAGGATCCCTCATTTCGAGAAAGTTTTGAATTTAAAGAGAGAATGTTTCACAGTATTACAGATCTTATAGTGCTTACTGTTTTTGTAGCCATTTCTCCACAGGTGAGAGAAAGTGCTGCACAGATGTTTAGAGGTGAACACAGAGACCCTGAATCAGTAAGACGATACCAGGAAATGGTGGCATGTATACAAAGGGATGCTGTTCATTGGCTTTACAGAGTGGTTCCCAAGTGTTATAATCCAAGCAAAGAAGAGTTTAATCGTTGTCTTCATAAAATCCTTATGTTTGAACAAGCAGAAGTTTACTTCATTAAAGACAACTGGCCTACAGAAAATGATCGACCATTATATTTTAGGCTTACCTCAGAAATCTCTGTGAAGCAAGAAACTCTGACGAGGCTGCTTATGATAGCTGTAATGAAGGATCAGTGGATGAAATCTCAGGATTTGCTAGAATTAGTTGACAAGCTTATCAAGAGAGCTACAGCTCTTCATAATGATGATATGGAAGTCTTACGCCTTGAAGACACAAAAATTGTAGAACTGATATTCAATCTTTGTCCTTACATACCACCTGAGAATTCTCCTCTACCTCAAGGGTACAGGCCTCCAAAGACTGCCATTGCTAATTTGTATTGGAAGTCGTGGATAATGCTTCTGCTCATAACTGCCCATAATCCAACTGTCTTTGGGCTTTTGGCATGGGAGTCATACCCAACTCTGCGCACGCTCATGGAAATGTGTATCACTAATTCCTTTGTATTTCCACCACCTACATTAGCTTCTGGAGAGAAAGGTGAAGAAATGACTACCCAGGAAATGCATCTTTGTGCCCTTGAACGTCAGCAGATATTGGATTTTGAGTCTCACTTAGCTCAGAAGACAATCACAGAGCAAAACAGTCTACTTCTCAGTCAATTAATAACTATGGATCCTACTGGGCCAGCTCGTAAACCTCCTGTTATTGTTTTAGAGCAGTTGAAAGCTCTTAATACCTCTCACAAAATTGGACACCTTCTCTGTCGTAGCCGAAATCCAGATTTTTTGGTGGATATAATTCAGCGACAAGGAGCCTCTCAGAGCATGCCATGGTTGGCAGAATTAGTACAGAGTAGTGAAGGTGCTTTCTCTGTACTCCCAGTGCAGTGTTTATGTGAATTTTTACTCAGTGAAGCTGGTACAGGAAACAGTGGAGAAGGAGCAACAAGGCACCATCAGCTGTTACAGCATTTGAGATCTTTGCTGCGTGCACCCCGTCAAGAAGATGGTGTCAGTGTAGAAATTCTTGAATACTTTTTGAGACGCCTAAGTTCCCAGCAAGCTTTGGCTCGTACACAGGCTGTGCGTGGCCTGCAGCTGGTGGTGGCTCCCCTTAGTGATCCTATGGAAATTGATAATGACACCCATGCACCACATGCATGGCTGCTTCAACATCTTCCTAACTTGCCAGGCTTTGATTTGGTCCAAGGAGTTGCAAGTCAAGCCCTTCGTGCTGCGTGTCAGATTGAAACTGACCCTCATGCTGTTAGTGCTTATATTCGTTTTTTGGCTGTACACACTAGAGATGATCCACTTCAAGATCAGGCTGAATTAGTTCAAGATATGGCACAGCTGATTGTAGAAAGATGCACAATGATCTTAGCTATTTTACCAATGCCAGACCGTCCAAACCAACCATTTCCTCATGCCCATAGCACACTGAAAGCTTTGCTTATTATTTTTATTAATTACATGCGTGGGGTTCGATTGCCACCACGAGAATCTTTCACCTGGTCAGAGAGTCAAGATCAGGTGCGTGTACAGTGGGCGTCTGGGGAACAGGCAGTTATGCATATACTTGTTGTTCATGCAATGGTGATTCTTCTGACTCATGGTCCTGACAATAGTCCAGATCTCTTTCATGAGCTACTAACTACTTGGTTCCCAGAACACGAGGAAATGCCACAAGCTTTTCTCGTAGATACATCAGAAGAAGCTCTTCTCCTTCCTGATTGGCTCAAACTCAAAATGATCAGATCCACGGTGTCCCAGCTTGTTGATGCAGCTCTGAAGGTGAGTCTCTCACTCTGTGTTACTTACATTTCATATTTTGTTATTATAGGCTTTTATTCATTTATTGTAATTGATTTAGCTTTGTTCTTTCCTCAATGTCTCCACCTCTTCTTCTCTACCTTCTCCTTCATCTCTATCTTGTAACACTGTATGACAGTTACATGTATAATATTTTCCATGAATTTTGTGTTACTGATTCAGCTGTGTAATTATTCGAACAAATATGAAACATTTTACGGTGTATTTTGTATACATGTATATGTCAGCTTGTTTTTTTTATCTTATAGGATTTGGAGCCATCTCAGTTGGTATTGTTTATTCAGTCATTTGGTATCCCTGTGGCAAGCATGACCAAGTTGTTACGTGCTTTGGATGTAGCTGTCAACACAAATGATGAGGCCGTTGCAGCAGCAGTGTTAGACAAGAGTCACAAAACTTACATGGCTCAGCTGGTTGAGGTAAGAATAATAAAAATGCAAAAGTATTTTCTGTCCTTGTTCAGAAAAATTCTTCAGCATTTGTTAGTTCTGCTTTAAGGTCTGACACTCAAGTGTATATGGTTAGGAACCTAATTGCTTGGGAGAAATCCTTTATGTGTCGTTGGATTTTGAATATGGTAGTAGCATACATGGTATAGGTGGAAGCAACAGCAGCAGCAGCAGTGGCAGCATATTAGTAGTAGTAGTAGTAGACATTAAGTTGTAAATGGTATGGTGAATTAGTAATAGCAACAAGCTGTAGATAAAGATGCCTATGTATAGTTGAAGACATTTATTAAAGGAAACATTTTGCTATAAGTGGCTTCATTACTTCTAATATAAAGTAAGCTAACTCAGTGTGTTTTATAGTGGGCAAAGTAGGTGACCAGTGAGGTGAGGTACAAGGTGCGTTGGGTTCAGAAATTACTGTATATCCCGGCATACAGGTTAACTTCTAAAATTCTGACATGTTAATTTAGGTTTAGGCCTAGATTTGTGCAGTAGGTCGACTGCCCCCAAGAAAAAACATGGCAGCACTACTTGCATCAATCTGTCAAGTTCAGAGTGTCTGAGTGGACAGACACGGACCATCAGACTGTTACATTCAAAGTTTCTGAGTGAACTATCATGGACCATTAAGGGGAATATTAGTTAATAATGCATCTTATTTTCTCCAGCTTTAATTTTTCTTATTTTTTGTTGTTTTAGGTATTATTTTTAATAAAACACGACACTCCTTTTATTAAAAATATGCGTTGGGGCAAGAAAAATAAAACAGGTAAGAAGTAGCAAATAAAACTTTGGTACAAATTACCATACTAACATGTCATTCAAAATAAAAATGATCACTAGAATTTTATTCAGAATAAATTAATTTGATATCACATGCCTAAATCTCTTCTTTTAGTTCCCATTCTTTTAATGAATATCAGTTAAAACAGCATTTAAAGAGATATTGTGAAAAATCAAGTGAATTAATGATAATATTTTATTATGATTTTGCCATGTCCACATTTCCTGGTGAATATTCATTGAAAACATAAGAGCTTCCTATCTGATATACAGAAAATTAATAAATTTGGTAAAAAACAAACGAAAAGAATGCGACAATGAATCCAGTCATACACAGATAACCCACACATAGGAGAGAGGGGCTTACACCAATATTTCAGTCTGACTTGGACCATTTACAAAGCCACACTAATAGAAAGGAGAGAAGAAGACTGTATATATAGGCCAGCAGACAGGGACAGGACAATAGAGGTAGAGGTTGTCCCGTCCCTGTCTGCTGGCCTATATATACTGCCTCCTTCTCTCCTTTCTGTTAGTGTGACTTTGTAAATGGTCCAAGTTGGACCAAAATGTCATTGTAAGCTCCTCTCTCCTATGTGCGGGTTATTTGCGTATTGTTCTAGTCACGGTATTGTGCCTTTTTGTTATTTAATGCAGCCATATCTACTGTAGTTAAGTCTCCATTTTCTCCTTGCTTGGCATATAACACCCAAAATGAAAATAAACCATAGGATTTCATTCAGAATAAGCCCATTCAGTTACTCTTTCTTATGAATGTAACAAAAGATTGTATATCAGATTGGAGGGAGAGAGTATGGAGGAGGTGAATGTATTCAGATTTTTGGGAGTGGACTTGTCAGCAGATGGGTCGTTGAAAGATGAGGTGAATCATAGAACTGATGAGGGAAAAAGGGTGAGCAGTGCACTTAGGAGTCTGTGGAGACAAAGAACTTTGTCCTTGGAAGCAAAGAGGGGACTGTATGAGAGTTTAGTTTTACCAACACTCTTATATGAGTGTGAAGCATGGGTGATGAATGTTGCAGTGAGAAGGCTGGAGGCAGTAGAGATGTCATGTCTGAGGGCAATGTGTGGTGCGAATATAATGCAGAGAATTCGTAGTTTGGAAGTTAGGAGGAGGTGCGGGATTGCCAAAACTGTTGTCCAGAGGGCTGAGGAAGGGTTGTTGAGGTGGTTTGGACATGTAGAGAGAATGGAATGAAACAGAATGGCTTGGAGAGTGTATAAATCTGTAGTGGAGGGAAGGCGGGTTAGGGGTCGGCCTAGAAAGGTTGGAGGGAGGGGATAAAGGAGGTTTTGTGTGCGAGGGGCTTGGACTTCCAGCAAGCATGTGTGAGCGTATTTGCTAGGAATGAATGGAGACAAATTGTTTTTAATACTTGACGTGCTGTTGGAATGTGAGCAAAGTAACATTTATGAAGGGGTTCAGGGAAACCGGCAGGCCGGACTTGAGTCCTGGAGATGGGAAGTACAGTGTCTGCACTCGAGTCCTGGAGATGGGAAGTACAGTGTCTGCACTCTGAAGGAGGGGTGTTAATGTTGCAGTTTTATAAACTGTAGTGTAAAGCACCCCTCTGGCAAGACAGTGATGGAGTGAATGATGATGAAAGTTTTTTCTTTTTCAGGCCACCCTGCCTTGGGAATCGGCCAATGTGTTAATAAAAAAAAAAATAAATAAATTATGAATGTCAGCAGATAGCAGTTTAGAGATATACTTTCTTCTTTCATCAAACCAGCCATATCCCACCGAGGCAGGGTGGCCCAAAAAGAAAAATGAAAGTTTATTTTTTTAACTTTAACCCTTTCAGGGTCCGTCCCGTAGATCTACGGCTTTACGTTCAGGGTCCAAACCGTAGATCTACGCCATGAGCTCAGCTCACTCTGATAAACTGTGAGTGGTACATTTGGGCCTAGATATGAGAGAATACATCTATGTGGTATGTGTGCACCATATAAAACAGATCCTGCAGCACACTGTGTATAATGAGAGAAAAAAAATGAAATCATGATTTTTCGATTAAAACAGCAACTTTGCAGTGTTTTTTCGTATGTTTTTTATAGTTGTATTTGCGATTTCTTGGTCTCATTTGATAGAATGGAAGACATATTACAGAAATAGAGATGATTTTGATTGGTTTTAGCACTGGAAATGGCTTGAAACTGAGCTCAAAGTAGCAGAAATGTTAAATTTTTGCCTATATTCAAGAGTAAACAAACGACCTCACACGTCTAATACACGTCAGCTGGTGGGTCTAATATACATTCACAAATATGGTGATGATATTTATACAATTATTACAGTATTGCATAACAGTAAATCTTCTATTTTTTGGTGTGAATAAAAATTCATTATGTGAATAAAAAATCAAAATGGAATTTATTTGTAAAGCCTCAAAACATAACTAATGAACAGAGGAAATGTTAGTTTAGTGCCAGGAATGCCTACATTGTTCATTCTGGACCCTATTTTGAAATTGGAATATTTTGAACTTTGTGTTAAATTGGCCAAATTAACAATTTCCGATCACTTTATTTTGTAGTTGAAACAGTTGACTTGGCGATTTCTTGTGCTCAATCGATAGAATAGAAGTAATACTAGTGAAATAGCTAAGAATTTGGTTGATTGGAATAATGTAATTGGCCTAAAATGGGAGTCAAAGTCGGCAAAATCGCCGATTCGTAAATATCGCTGACACATCAAAATTCGCGAGAGCATAATTTCGTCAATTTTCCACCAAATTTCGTACTTTTTGTTTTATTACCTTCACAAAAAGATTCTCTACGATTTCATAAGAAAAAATAACAAATTTTTTTTTTGAAAATTCTTGGACACTGGTGCGTGACTCCAGATTTGGGCCTTGGACCCTGAAAGGGTTAATAATGTATACTGGAGAAGGGGTTACTAGCATTTTAATTGCCTGTTATGACACGCATGGCTAACGGAGGAAGAATTTTGTTCCACTTCCCCCTTGGACATAAGGGAAAATAAACCAGAACAAGAATTAGTAAGAAAATAGAAGAAAACCCTGAGGGGTTTATATATATATATGCTTGTACATGTATGTGTAGTGTGACCTAAGTGTAAGTAGAAGTGGCAAGACATACCTGAAATCTTGCATGTTTATGAAACACAAAAAAGAAACCAGCAATCCTACCATCGTGTAAAACAATTACAGGCTTTTGTTTTACAGTCACTTGGCAGGATGGTAGTACCTCCCTGGGCAGTTGCTGTCTACCAACCTAGTACCTACAGCATGGGTTGCATTGTTTAATATTAGCGTATATTTTTTACTTTCCATGACTCGGTTTAGGAGCTGCCATTCTCCTTACCTTTCAAAACTAGTCATCCTTCACTTAATGAATATTTGCTTTGTGGAATTTTGATTAATGACCAAAAAATCTGGGATCTTTTCTCTATTTATTGACCAGCTCTGGATGACAATTTTCCTCACTGAACAGCTATCAGGCGACAGCACAGGCTCATTTTATTTTTAATAATATCTAAGTGATATTATATTATTTTAATAATATCTAAATGATATATTATTTTAATATCTAGTATTACACCTCACTCTAAGCCTATATATACCTTCTGTGTCTGTGTAGTGTTTGTAACGGCTTGATAAAGCTCCTGGAGAACAAAAGGTTGCCACAGTAAAATGTCACATTAGTTGCATTTGTGTCGTTTTACTTAACAAGACATATGGCATATGGAAGATGGCGAGGAGGGGAGAGGGAGGAGGAGAGGTTATTGTTTGGAAAGGAAATCCTCCTCCATAAGGACTTCAGGCATCAAGGCCCTATCCTGGGTTACTTCCCTTCTTTGTCTTTTACTTGCACTAGGACCAGCTTGAGAGTCACTGGGCCCCTGTCGCACAAAAAATCTGTCCAGAAAGGTCTCTTTCTGGCGTCTCTTGAAGATTTGCCTAAAATGGGACAAGGCATTGTCATTGAACATGTTGCAGACACTGCTTGCAACAGCTTTGTTAGAGTGATATTTCTCCACAAAACTTTGCAGCTCATTCCACTTTGCAGACATGTCCTTAATTGCTGAAGAAGGCACATTCTCCCCTCTCTCTACTTCCTCCTCTGAAGCAATTTCCTCATCTGCGGTCTGTTGCTGTTCCAGTTGAAGGTCTTGCAGCTCTTCAGTGGTTAGCTCTTCTCTG